ACCGAAGCTGCCACCAGGGATGCCTGCACACTGGAGTGCCTGGGTTCAAGTCCCACTCTGCACTTCATTCCAGCTTCCTGCTGATGTGCCCCTGGGAGGCAGAGGTGATCACTGCCAAAGCTGGTTCCCTGCCACCCACATGCGAGACCTGGATACAGTTCACAGCTCTACTGTGCAGGCATTTGAGGAGAGAACCAGTGGACAGGAGATATCTCTCTCTCTGCCTTTCAGATAAATAACTGTTAAAAAAAAAAAAGGCATAATTCTCAAAAAGGAAAACCATTACATTTTGCATCTATATTAACTAGGATTTGTGTAGTCTTGTATCTGTCACCATCTAAATTCTTGTTATTTTAATATTTTGTAATAATAATAAATTTTATTTACTGAAAATAAAAGGCCAGTGTATATAAGGCAGACATCCTTAGATGTACAAGGAGATACTGGGGAAGGAAAACAAAACATACTTCTTCAGAGTTTGGCAAATAAACTCTGGGAAGATACAAGCTAGGATTTATAGGAGACAAAGTCTTACTAATAAAGGACTATACACTTAGAGAGAATGCTCCCTCACACCCACAGAACAAAAGTCGAAATTCTACCAAGCAGAAACTGAAAGTTGTGGTCTCCAGTTGTGATGCAATAAAATTAGAAATCTGACAATTAAAACACTTTTCTGAGAAATTTATTCTTCAATATAATATGCTTTTGGGTTAAAGAGAAAATTTAGAAAAGTTTACTTAAAGATTTTAAAAAAGAGGGAAATTTAAAAAGATGAAAATCAACAAAGTATAAAACAAAGCACTAACCCTCCCCAAAATGCAATTAAATGCTTTTTAAATAAATATAGCTGAGTTCTGGATAAGCCTAATGGCTATAAAGAGAAAATTAAAATGTATATTATGCCTGGTCCAGCCTGGCCCAGCACAGCACAGCCCAGCCCAGCCCTTGTTGTTCTCGGCATTTGGGAAGTGAAGCAAGAGGATGAAGTTCTTTGACTTTCTGCCTTTCAAATAATGTGGGGAAGGATGGGGGGGGGGGGGTGGAGTGGGGCCCAGTACTGTGGCGTAGTGGGTAAAGCTGCCACCTGCAGCACTGGCATCCCATATGGGCACCAGCTAGAGAGCTAGCTGCTCCACTTCCGACCCAGCTTCCTGTTAATGCACCTGGGAAAGCAGTGTTAGATGGCCCAAGTGGTGGGAGACCCAGAAGAATCTCCTGGCTCCTGGCTCTTAGCTTCAGCCTGGCCAAGCCCTGCTGTTGCAGCCATTTGGGGAGTGAGCCAATGGATGGAAGATCTCTCTGCCTCTGCCTCTGCCTCTCCCTCTGTAACTCTACCTTTCAAATAAGTAAATAAATCTTAAAAAAAAAAATAAAGCCTGGAATGCTAGTGCTAATATTTATTTAAGATGTTAACATATTAAATAAAGACTCATAATATTTTCTTTTTTGTTAATTTTTCATGTTTTAATATGAGGGATGGATAATGAAAACTTTCCATTCTTTTCTATATTCTTGAATAGTGTAACTAACATAAGAAATATTATTCCCCTGATGGTCAAACTCATTTGTAAAATTATTTGGGTCTGAACCATAGCTAATGTTCCTTTAACCACCTTTTACATTTCTTCTTAGTATAGTCTGTTCAGGTTTCAACCTTTTTTTGAACCCATTTTGGTTATGGTAAAAAAAAATTTCCTAGGAAAAATCCTTAATGAAAATTGTCAGCCCTGGTAAATTGTCAGCCCTCTTTTAGCATCAGTAATCCATCAGAAAACAGTTTCCTTAGAATAGCTTAAAAAATGCTGTATTCAGATTAAACTTTTAGACCTTGTTTTGAATTGGAAGTGAGAAGATAAATGTGAGCCCCTATAGTATCTGTGTCTATGAACCACTCAAGTGGAACTTGGCAGGCAGTTTGCACCTGCACTTTTATTTACAGTGTGTCAGAGGAGCAAAAGTGTTCCTCCAGCTACAAATACTAATAACACAGAAATAAATCAAGTACATAAAAACTGGAGCCCAGAATTGGACACTCTCTTTGGTGAAAAATAAGAGTGGTTGCTCATTGCATTTTCCCCAGTTATCATCCTAAGAATGGTTTCCTTAATGATCATTTCTGTGATATTTGTTAAATCCTTATATGTGCAGTATTGTGATAGACATTTACATACATAGTGGGTAAAGTCAGGACCATACCCTCAGAAAGGAACTGTTACCTCATGTCATTTTCATGGAGCAGTGGCTTCAGGGCACTGATGGCCACACTAGGCCTGCTGGGACACAGGGAATGGGGTATGTGTGGAGAGGAGAAAGAAGACTCCCAGCCCAGGGGAGTGGTGTAAACAAAGCCATGAAGGCCGGCGCCACAGCTCAATAGGCTAATCCTCCGCCTGCGGCGCCAGCACCCTGGGTTCTAGTCCCGGTCGGGGCACCGGATTCTGTCTCGGTTGCCCCTCTTCCAGGCCAGCTCTCTGATGTGGCCCAGGAGTGCAGTGGAGGATGGCCTAAGTCCTTGGGCCCTGCACCCGCATGGGAGACCAGGAGAAGCACCTGGCTCCTGCCTTTGGATCAGCGCGGCGTGCCGGCCACAGCGCGCTATCCGCAGCGGCCATTAGAGGGTGAACCAATGGAAAAGGAAGACCTTTCTCTCTGTCTCTCTCTCTCTCACTGTCCACTTTGCCTGTCAAAAAAAAAAAAAAAAAACAAAAAACAAAAAACAAAAACATGGAGGCAGGAGCTGTAGAATGTGTTTCTGTTATCTAACTGCTCATGCCTGCCCAAGGAAGGATGAGGGTTACCTAAAGAACTTGAAAGAGAAGAAAAAGGAAAAATCCAAGGGCCCCATCCATAGGGGTCTAATTGAGTGGGGGCAAGATAAGGCCCAGATACCTAAGCTTCTCTGAAAGTCCATGGCTGATTCTGTTCACAGTCAAGGTTGAAAACCAGCTGTGTAGTCTAGTCTGTAACTAGAGTGCAAGGGATCTTTCAGTAGTGTGGGATTAGGTGCCAGAAAGACGTATGGCAGTCAAGAGATAATTGGAATAACGTTTTAGTGCTTTAAAAATAAGATTTATTTATTTATTTAAAAGTCAGAGTTAGAAAGATGGAGAGAGAGAGATTCCATCCACTGGTTCACTCTGCAGATGGCCGCAGTGGCCAGTGCTAGGCCTCAAGACATGCAATAATTATTTCACTGTTGTTAGTAATCTTTGTCAGGCAACTGGCCCCAGTGGGGCAGTTCTTCTGCTGTGTGTGACATTGCCTGGGGCTGCAGCCATCCAGGGGATCTGCTGGAGCTGTCCACAGGGGCATCTTCCTGTAAGTGCCACAGCGTGGCAGCAGGGTTCCAGGAGCAGGCATCTCAAAAACAACATTTGAAAAGGCCCTGGGGCCGGCACCGCGGCTCACTAGGCTAATCCTCCGCCTTGCGGCGCCGGCACACCGGGTTCTAGTCCCAGTCGGGGCGCCGGATTCTGTCCCGGTTGCCCCTCTTCCAGGCCAGCTCTCTGCTGTGGCCAGGGAGTGCAGTGGAGGATGGCCCAAGTGCTTGGGCCCTGCACCCCATGGGAGACCAGGAGAAGCACCTGGCTCCTGCCATCGGATCAGCGTGGTGCGCCGGCCTCAGTGCACCGGCCGCGGCAGCCATTGGAGGGTGAACCAATGGCAAAGGAAGACCTTTATCTCTGTCTCTGTCTCTCTCTCTCTCTCTCTCTCTCTCACTGTCCACTCTGCCTGTCAAAAAAATTTAAAGAAAAGAAAAGGCCCTGGACCACAAGTCTTCTGACCTTAACTTGATTCGTCTCACACATTACTGCAACACGCTCTGCGGGTCAGGTGAGCACTCAGATTCTACGGAAGGTGAATAAACTCCATCACTTGATGGGCGGAGCAGCACGTGCACACCAGGAAAGAAGGAAATTGATAGCGACCATTTTTTAGACTTACATCTACAATCTGAATGCTCCAAGTAATACAGCATCAAAATAAGTGAGGCAGAACTGGAGGAGATTTAGATAGATGTCACTCATAGTAGAACTAGGGGTTGGTGTAGGTGCAGCTGTTAAGTCACTAGAATATCTGCATCCCATATCTGAGTGCCCGGTTTGAGTCCTGGCTGCTCTGCTTCCAATCCACCTGCTGATGTGCACATTGGGAGGCAGCAGATGTTGCCTCGGGTAATTCTGCCACCCATGTGGGAAACCGGATTGAGTTCCAGGATCCTGGCTTTGGCCTGACCCGGCCCTGACTGTTGGAGGCATTTGGAGAGTGAACAGTGGATGGAATGTCTCCCCTCGTCTCAGATATTTGTAGGATATGTGCCTCTTCCATACCCCAAAAAGGGAAATACTCGAACCTCTACACTCGCAGAAATATGAAGCCTTAACACACTGCGTTTTCCTCAGCCGTCAACCTGGCAGCAGTCGTGTGGCTTCCCCATCACACACTGCTCTGTAGGAAGTGGAGTTCTCTCTAGGTCTGAAAGTGGGGTTATGCATTCCCTCAAGTTCCTCCCCACAGGAGGGGTCCTATCTTGATTCCCTGCCAGGACCCTGGTAAGAGCAGCTTGGCCCTGGTTGTTCTGTAGGTTTCCGGTCACCTGCGTCAGCCACTGGACATGTCGTCTAATCCCCTAATAAAGCAGGCCTGGGAATTGGGCTGGACTCCTTGCCATCACCTGTTGCCCATGTGTTATTTTTATAATCCCCTTAAGAAAAAGTGTAAACTGAGCTAAACGTTTGGGTTTAGTTTATTTTGTTGCTGTTGCTGACTCTGCTTTGCTTTCTGAAACTCTTGTCATTTGCCCTCCTGATAACTCAAACTGTGTCTGGGGTGGGAACCCAGGGTGTGGGACTGATTTCATTTCCTGCTGTGCCAGTGATGAGTCCTGTTTACTCACTGCTTTTATCACAGCGGCCCCACGTGATTAACAGGAGTGTTTGCGAATCTGAATCTTGTTGCCGAAGCCTCAGTAACGCTTAGCCCCTCTGCCCCTGCAGGTCGTCACGCTGTGGTACCGAGCTCCAGAAGTCCTGCTGCAGTCCAGCTACGCCACGCCCGTGGATCTCTGGAGTGTCGGCTGCATATTTGCAGAAATGTTTCGTAGAAAGTAAGAAATACCATTTTCTTTGTGAAGCTGCATTTCGCGGCAGCGTGGCGTTTCTGTCGTGTAGGCTCATGATGTCCAAACCCACATGCTGCAGGCTGCCGCTTCCGAGTCACCTGCCTTCCCGGTCCTTACAGCGTAGTGTTGTACACTGTAGCTTCCCGCTCTTGGAAACTCTGTTGGTAAATTCACACTCTGCTATTCTTACATTGGGATTGGTTTTGTTTGAGGTGATAGGACATGGTGCATGAGAAGCGGACGGTGGTTTTTTTTAGTGACTGAATACCCTCAAAGTAGACTTGATCCATTGGAGGAGGAATGGGACTGTTAAGGTTAAGGATGTGGGAATTTTTTAAAACAAAAATTTTGATGATCCAAATAGTTGAGGAAAGGCTACTTGGGCTGGAAAGGACGGACCAGGAGCATGTAGAATATTTTAATGCTGCCATATGGAGGAGAAACCAGACATTTCTGCACTATTGGGCAAAACTTGAACAAGAAAGTAGAAATTACAGAAATGAAGAATTTTGGTTCAAGGAGGGGGATCTGTCCACGGAGTCAGTTATCTGGAAAGTAGCTTGGGGATTGTGTGTTCTCACTGGGTGTACAGGGACCACCATGCACTGGCACTCAGAGGCTGAGCTAGATGACTTCCAGGGCCCCTGGAGTCTGCAAGTCTGTGATTCATTTGTTTGATTTTCAGGTCACACGAAATAGCCAAACAATATAATAAAGATCTGCCAGGAAAATAATCCATGCCTGGGTACTAAGTTCAGCCTGGTCAAAATTAAACAGCGAACCTAACCATAATCTAATCTCTATTTTTTTTCTGTTTTTATTTCCATGGGAAATTGTGAGTTGGGAAGCTGAGCATATTCCCATTGGACACACTATATTCAAAATGAAGCTCATAAGAAAAAGAAGTGGTCCATAACTGCTTGTTTGTGTTTGTTGTAGCCAAATGAAGTTTTGTACATGTAATAGAAACATCTAGAAGTCAGCCAGTTCATCAGTAGCCGACAGGATGTGATCATGGCAAGAACATGAGAGGATTCAGATGTTTGATGCAAGCCTGGTGTGTGCCAAGGATAGCACTGAAACTCTTCCCTTATGTCACCTTTTTTTAGGAGGTGTGAGGATGGACTGGTGCATCAAACAGCTAGGAAGTACCAGGGGTATGAGTCTTATAAATTCCAACCCAGTACTGTTGTTCTACCAAATAGGGAAGAAAAAGAGGGATATCAGACCCAGCTATGGTGTTTGCCAATTAGGCTAAATAGGTGGTGGTAAAAGCTTGGTCTCTGACTTGGTTGGAAATGCAGGTACCCAGGCCTTGCCACAGACTTGCAGAGTAGAAGAAGCCCTGGGACTGAGGTCCAGCAGCATGTGTCTTAACAAGCCCTCCACTTGATCCTAGGGGCACCCTCGGGGTGAGAGCCACTGAGTGAGGCGACAGTGCAGCCCGGGGTGGGCCCTTTAGAAAGGGCAGGTGCCAGGCCCCACCCTGCAGATGCTGCTGGTTCACTGTGGGGCTGAGGCCAGGAATTCCTCTCCTCTCCTCTCCTCTCCTCTCCTCTCCTCTCCTCTCCTCTCCTCTCCTCTCCTCTCCTCTCCTCTCCTCTCCTCCCCTCCCCTCCCCTCCCCTCCCCTCCCCTCCCCTCCCCTCCCCTCCTCCTCTCACTTTCCCTTCCCCTTCCCCTTTCCCTTTCCCTTTCCCTTTCCCTCCCTCTCTCTTTCTTTCTTCATTTCTTCATTTATTTGACAGGCAGAGAGACAGAGAAGGGGACAAACAGATCCCTCACCCACTGGCTCACTCCCCAAATGCCCACAACAGTGGAGGACAGGCCAAGCCAACGCCAAGAGCTGAGTGCGCAGTTCAGATCTCCCACGTGGGTAGCAGGGACCCAAGTAGTTGAGCCATCACCTGCTGGTTCCCAGGGTGTACATCGCCAGGAGGCTGGAACTGGAAGCAGATCAAAGCCTTGCACCAAGGTAATAAGCCCAGAAATAGTTGTGTGGAGAAGGGAGCAGTATCAGAAACCAATTCCATGTGCCTTTAAGGCCTAGGAATGAATCCAGGCCAATCACGTATCCTCCCTGAACTGGTTCCCTGTCTCCTAGGGTTCCTGCTGGTTCAGCTGTGACCCTGAATATGCCATGGGGTCTGACCCTTGTTCTGCTCAGCTCACACGTGGAGTTTCCTATGATACTACGCAGACAGCTAAACGTGGTGTGCCTCTTAACACCAGATGTGGTCTGGGGTCCAGTCCCCAGCTTAGCATGAATCTAACTTGACTTCCAATTCCATGTTGTCCCAGTTGAGAATTCACAAGCCACAGATCCCCTCATTGCTTTTGACTAATCCTAAATCTGGGAGTCCTGTCATGCATCCACTCTGCGTTCTTACTTTCTGCTAAGGCAGCGATTTCTAAATTTTGTCGTCTCTTTGTCACCTTCATTATTTTGGCATATTCTTATATGGCTAACCATACTGTCATTTGCTTTTCTTTTTTTTTTCTATGGTCCATATTTTTATTGTGTTGGAATCCACACAATTCAAAGTAGATGTTCTTTTTTTTTTTTTTCCCCCATAGGAGAGGCATGTCAATATCTTTATTTGACATTCAGAATCTTTCACAATTTTATCTACAGCCCTGAAATCCATCTCAGTTCACATATGGTAAATTCTAGCAAAATAAATTGCTTGCTAATCTTCTTACATGTTGCATCTACCTCCCTGTACATCTCTTTGCCCATAAATTAAATTATAAGTCCTTCTTCATTGGCTATAATGTTATTAATTTTACCTTTTTTGTTTATCTTTCTCAGATAATCCTCTCTTTTCCTGTTTTCTTTTTTTTTATTATAAACACTTTTATTTAGTGAATATAATTTTCCAAAGTACAGTTTAGGGTGCGGGTGGGAGGGAAATTATGGGGGGAAAGCCATTGCTTTTCTTTTTAACCTTCAATTTACTTTTTCGTTTAGCATCATCCTAAACAAAACTTATGAGTGTAAAATCAGACTTGGTGAGCCACTTCTTCAAAATAAATATGTGGGCCCAGCCCCAGCAGTTGCAACCAATTGGGGAGTGAACCAGCAGATTCTGTCTCTCTCTCCCTGTCTCTTTAACCCTTGACTTTCAAATAAATAAATCTTTATTTAAAAAAAAAAAAAAAAAGAAGAAAGAAAAGCAGAAACTTAGTGTGCAAAAAGAAACCTGGTGTACATTCATCCCCTGAAATCATGTCACGTATTGTCAGTGGTACGTGTTACATGTTGGAAACCCTCTCCCAGGGGCTAGCCTACGAGTAACTTCCTGGGTGGCTACCATAGGCATGGCCCACTTGTCGAAGGGTAATGTAAATCCCAACAGAAACTGGAGGCGGTCCTGACACCTGAGCGGAAGTAAGTGCTATGCAGAAGTCTAAGGTGCTGTGAGTGCGTATGATGAGGAGTCTGTTTTGAAGGCTGGAAGGCAGGGTTGACCTTCCTTAGAGGTCACATCCTAGCTGTTTATGTAAAGTCTTCAGGGAGTAATTGTTGATGCACCTGCAAGGCTCACCAGCCTCCATAACCTGGAAGAAGTAAAGGAGCCCAGGGAGTTACCCTTGCCCTGAGGGTAGCACTCAGGCTCCTCACGGGTGTTCTCTCATTCAGCCCGCACTCGGGGCTGTGAGCTAGAGATGGCCACGGCTAGGTAGGTATGTGCTCCCAGCTATTAGCTGGCCAGGTCTGAAGCCAGGTCTGTCTGACCCCACAGCCTTTTACCTGCTACTCTGCCGTGTGTCTCTCCTGGCTGTTGTTGGGCCATATTCTTTATCTCGGATGATTTATGGATTATTGCAGTGTTGCAACAGTGATGCTTTAGAGAGGTGAGAAGCAAGTCACATATTTAATAGCTCTTATTTTTAGGTCTCCAACATCAGAAAGGTTGACCAGGTCTCTGTGCTATTATTAGGAGATACATGCCTTCTAACTGAATACCTAGGGAAAAAGAACTCCATCAAGAGTGTCTTAGGGCAGATGGTTGACAAAGAGCCAGAAAGTTTGAGCACCATCTGTCACCATTATCTGGGTTTAATAATTGCCCACACTGACCCAAAGAAGCCTTCTACAAAATGGATTAGAGCTAGATTTTTTATCTTCCTTCTTTAACACTTTGTGGATAATCCATCTTTACTCCTGATTGAGTTATATGTCAGCACTAACAAATGTTATGAACTTGATCAGTAGCCAGCTCGTCAGCTTGAAGGATGGGAGTAGATGGATGCATGGATGGGATAGACTGCTTTCTAACGACGTGGCAAAAAGAACTCACCATGTGAATTCTCCAGGCATCTATGGGTTGCCTTATTATCCTGCTCAGAACTGTTGTCTGTGGTTTCAAAGTTACGGGGTTTTCCAGGTTGTAGCAAAGTCAAAAAAAGAAAATTATATTTAAAAAATAAGATTTGCCGCTAATTCTGTGAATATGGAGATCATGGTAAACAGATAGTAATTCTTAGAAGTTCTGGGTTGCCAGCTCTGCTGATCCCTAGCTCGGAAATGCCAAGTAGTACAGGAAGACCATAACAAATGCAGTCACTGTTAGCAGGCAACTAAAAAGGCTTTGTGATTACATTGCTCCTTGTCTGCTCTGTGGGCTTGTCATCATTGGTTTCCATGAATTAAACACCCAGTAGCTGAGAAATTGTCCTTTGTGGCTCGGTGGTCAGTAAGCAAGTGTCTTTAAAAGGTCATTGAGTGCCTTGCCAGTTTTCCCTTTGGTTGCTGTGTGGGTGCTCCACGTCTGAGCACGGTCTGTAGTGACTTCAAGGAAATGAGGTGCTTAACTCGGATCTGCACATCAGAGCACCAGAAGCACTCACCTGGGAGGAAACCCAGCACCTCAGGTTAGGTCAGGACAGGTGTCAGTAGCATCCCCTATCAGAGTGCCTGATTCAAGTCCTGGCTCCTCCTCTTCTCCTCCAGCCTCCTGCTATACACACTCTGCGAGGCTG